AATTCTGGGAGTTGAAGTCCACTCAACTTAAAGTGGCCAAGTTTGGACAACACTGGTCTAGGTGTTCAGCTTCTGAAAAGGTCACAAATACTTACTGGAATCTTGTGGGTGTGTTCTGTTTTGGGTTTTTTACAGAGTGTCGGGTAATGAAAGGAAACCCACCTACTACCCCAGGCAGCAAGTCATCCCCAACCCCCCAGAAGAGTTCTGCAAAAAGTCCAGCTCCGTTGCGCCGGAGCAAATCACCAGCTGATTCAGGTAACCTTCAGGACGGTGAGTGATTGTTCTCTTCCAACAAATACATGTTAGCTCCTCATGGATCTGGGGGATAAATTAACATAACTGAGAAGCATATTCCTCTTTCAATGGAGACTGGCCAATTCCAGTGTTATGGAAGAGTCCATGAAGGAACCTGGTCTTTGCTTAATTCTGTTGCCTTCTGTCTGGCCCATCGTACTTATTATGTCCATCCTAACTCTAACCCATTGTAAGAGAAAAAAATAGTTTCTAAAAGTGAGTAGGCTAGTAGTGAGTGAGTAAGACAGTAGCAGTAGCTTCTGCTGCTACAACTTGTTTCCATGAGTTGTGTCATCTGAAGGGTTCCAGAAGTTATGTTTAAAACACTACACTTAACGTGGTTCAAAACTTTGGATAGTATTTTGTTAAAATTGGAGCTCGGCATTATCCTGATTTTTTTCCCCTAGCTTTTCTCACTTGATTTGATAAAAGAAAATGTGTGTTTCATGTTTCTTTCAAAGGAAAAGAGGGTTTCAGTGACATTCTCACGGAGGGAGCATGATTTCTTTGCACTTGTTTAGTTCCTAGCTTACCAAGGGTGTATATGAACATGCTCTCTTTCACTGCACATGCTTTTCTGTAGTAGTTGAAAGCTTTCCTGGCTTCTAACCATTCCATTATATCCTATGCAATGCACATTAAAAACTGGCAGAGCTTTGTTTGCATAATCACAGTCATCATCTTGATATTTTTGACCATCCCTGTGGACACCCTTGATTATTCATGAAAATGGGGGCAGGCTGGGAGACTTCATAGCAATGGAAAGAGCTCAAAACAACATCAGGAGGAGTGCACTGGCCATAACCTCCACCAACCTAAGCTCAAAACCACCATGAGAAATTCACATGAACAGCAAGAGAAATTTGAAAGAACTTCACAAGCATTCTTGTGGAAGAAACAGAAAAACAGAAGCCTTTTTTATAAGGAAGAGAAAAAATGGAGAAATTGCAAGACAGTTCATTATTAGAATACACTGTAATGAATTAAATGTATTGATATAAGTAAGTTGCTCTGAGAGTTCACAGGTAGCACTCCGATTAAATCCCACCAAAATGAACAGGATTTAAGTAAGTCATATCCACAATTTTTTTCCACTGATTTCTGCTCAGAGTTATTCACAACTGGAGCAGCCTATAAGCCCAGGGGGAAAAAAATAAAATAATGATTTCAATGAGAAATTTGACCCAAAGGTTAACATTAACAAACTGAAGTGGAGCATTAAAAAATGAAAGCGTGGATCTGAACAATCTAAAAAGTGTGAAGCCCTGGATATGTAGCCTACTTCCTGAAACCTCTACAAAAAGGAAAAATTGTGTCCCACATTAAGTTAAGAAGGAATATTGCCTTTAAATGCTAAACAAGGAATATACAGAACTGAGATAACCACAGGACAATCTCGTGTAAAAATTGCCAGGAGTCTGACTGCATAGTCACAGCCACCATCTTGACTTTTTGACACACACACACACACACACACACACACGTCCCTGCAGATCCCCCTGAACTAGTATCACTTTCAATTATTTTTTTTTCATCATGCTGGGCCAAATGGGGAGAATTGGCATTGGAAGAGCATCTTTGTCCTTCACAATGGCCCTGCAATGCTGCTATGTTATAATCTAGCATGGTTTGAGTGGGAAAGCAGAGTTATTCATACAGTTTGGAAAACATCTTTTAGAAGAAAAGGAAAGATTGCTTTCTCCAACCAGTAATGGGAATCTTTCTTGTCCCCCTCCTGTCCTGTGACTGGAAGGAATTGATTAGTTTTTTTTTTCCATCCACAACATGTTCAGAGAAAGTGGGGCAGGAGAACCTGTTTGGTTCAGCTGCAGCTTCCACTTAAAAGAGGACCGATCGATTCGCAAACAATAGAAGGTATTATTCAATCTCCTCTAGACAAAGGAGTGGTTTTTTTCTGAAAGTCCTAGTATTTTCTTTCTAAAGCCTTTGGCATTGTATCAATCAGGCAAAGTGAAGTAGCTGAAGAGGTTCACGTGCAGCAAAATGTTAACAATACAATGCAGTGTTTGTTTCCACCCCTGAGCTGGACAAAGGAAAACTTAATGAAGAAAAGCTTCCATCTCTCTGGGACGTCAGATCCATTGTTGGCAATCTCTCAGCAGAACTGACCCAGCTGGAGAGTAGCTTCACTCTTCCTTTGCTACCCCTTGTATGGCTGCAAATTTTATTATTATTGTTGGTTGCACCGTCCACTGGTTGTTTAGATTGGATTTGGCATTTTTATCCACCCATCAAGTCCTTCCCAAGGATAGGCAGATGTTGTTTGATGGTTTCTTGGTGTTAAAGGTATCGTCGCAGGATGGAAGCTGTTCCCAGTAAAGCTGCCTTTGGCAATGGACTGACGGTGATTTTGTCAATGCCGATGGTCTTCAAGGGGTGCTCCAGATGTTTTGGAGCACCACTTGAACACCCAAACATCTGGGGCACCCCTTGAAGACCATCGGCATTGACAAAATCACCATCAGTCCATTGCCAAAGGCAGCTTTATTATTATTTATTAACCCAACCCCCTTCACACCCTATGATTCTATGATTATACTACATGTGAGTAAAGGAAGAAGAAATCCAACTGAATGAATAGAAGTTTGCTCTCATAATATTAAACGTATCTGTTTGGATTATGAACCAAGGGTGATCTGAATTCAAATATAATTCTGGTTGGATAGCAACATCCAAGCGTCCATCCAAATTCCTTGACTAACGTTACTGTACTTGCGCAATTAATCAAAATAATAAAAATATTACAGGGGGGGAAAAGCTCTGCAGCTTATTCACTCCTTTTCAACCGTCCATTATTCACCTTGTTCAATGAATCACAGCTAAGAGTGGGGGAGAAACAAACTCTGGATTATTCTCTCTAGTGAACTGGGTCGTGATGCACAAAAGCTTTATATGACCATAAGACTCTTTGGATTTATTTTTTCCCTGGAAAAAAAGGCAACACAGCTGCTTCTTTGGAAAATAGTGTCAGAAGACAGAAGTCAAAAGTTAAGAGAGTTAAATAGATCAGCCTTTTAATAACTTGGATCAATGAACAGCGCAGATATTTTGCTAGTGTGGTTTTAAGAAAAATCCATCTTCCTTAGCCACAGAATTTCTTCTGACTACTCAGCCTCCTTTCTGGTGCATGGCCTTTTTCAGAGTGGTGTTTACTTAGGTGTCATATCTTGGTTAAACAAAGTGACAGATTCCACAGATTCCCTGGGAAAGACGACGTTCCCCAAGAAAAAGCCTCGAAGTTACCATTTACACAAACCTGAATAAGCGTCAGAGTCTTCCCTGGAAAACATAAATTCTTTTTGATCAATTATAGGCTGCCACAAAGCTGTCCGTGTAAATGACAATTTAAAAATGGCAGAGAGGGTCTCCAGGAAGCATTATTTATAAAGTAGCAGCAATGGCAATCAGCTACAATTGTGGAACTGTGGATTTTGAAGGGATCAAAGGAGCATCTAATCCAGTGTTTTTCAAACTGGCAACTTTAAGATGGGTGGACTTCAACTCCCAGAATTCCCCAGCCAGTAAGATGTTTGGACTTCAACTCCCAGAATTCCCCAGCCAGCCATGCTGGCTGGGGAATTCTGGGAGTTGAAGTCCACCCATCTTAAAGTTGCCAGTTTGGAAAACACTGGTCTAATGGGTTTTCTTGCAAACTGCAGAGCCCTTGTGATCCTTCCAGCTCTACAGTTCTATGACCTGCAAAGATACTAAGTCCTCCGTAATGATAAATTCAAGGAGACACATATGGAGGGGGTGGGATATGAATGCTAAATGAGGATGCAATCAATGAAACCATATCTGACTCCATTTGGGGATACCACGTAGGATGTCTTGAGTTGTCTCAGCAGATGGCAGCACCTAACTGACTTTGGCTAATCAAAAAAGCTAATTCAGGTTTGCAGAAAACCACAGAAGAAGACAATAGCAAGCCACTTCCATTCAGTTGCCAAGAGAACGTCATAATCCATTTGCGTAGATTAATGGCAAATAAAGGTTGTAGTAACAATGCATGCTTCCCCCCTCCCTTATATTACAAATTAGAGTAATGAAGAATGGTGAATCTGCTAATTTCAGCAGTTGTTGGACTGTGTCAGCCCTTTGAGGTAGTCCAGACACGAAGCACAAACCATGAGTACTAACACTACCTTTATTGTAAGGTTACAGGAACAGAATCTTGCAAGTCTGAAAGTATTTCTCCCCTCCCTTACTTTTACTTTCCAGAAAACTAGGAAGGGTCCCTTCTGAGATGCTTCCCACATCCCTTTTCCTTCTATGGGCTGAGATACCTCTTTCATGAAGGTTCTCTAGGCTGAGGCACTTCCTCCTGTCCACCAAACTCATTCCCACATACTGTTACACTCTCCGAACTCCCTGACACCATCTATTTTGAAAGAAAATGTACATCCCCCCAAACAGAGATCAGTTGGATATCCTTCTGCAAAAGATCTCTTTCTTTAATGAACCTGGAACAAAATTCATCAGCAAATTTGCAACGTCTGGATTTTCTTGCACCCAGAGAGCCCCAAGCTGTTGATTCTAATTCAATTAAAGTTCCGTTATTGGCACAATTAGAACCAGTGAATCAAATACAACTGCCAAGCCTTACCATGCACCACAGTAAGCCCAAAGATTGTTTAAATAAATCTGCATTAGGGAGACCCTTGTGCTGGATTCCTGGCTGCACATTATGGGCTGTGCTGTTTTCATATAAATTATTCTACCGTGTGCGCTTCTAGCTAGACGGAGTTTCTTTCCCCAAACTGCAGAGTGAAGAAGAGTTTCCATGGAGAACAAACAACAGCGAGTGAGATATGTGAGGCCTGGCATTTAAATTTATACGCTCCTCTAATGGAGTTCATGAAGTAATTAAACCCTGCTAGGTTTATATCTGGTGGCTTTCTGTCAAGAAAAAGCAGGCATAGTCTTGCTTCCTCTCCTCCCTCCATTTCATGCTTTAATCAAACTTAGGAAAGCAAAATGGGATCCAGGAATCCGTTGAGGGCTCATAGTCTTCTTTTATGATGCCACCATTTCATGATGCCACCATAATAACAAAACCTTGCCAGGGATTCATGGATGCCATTGCGAAACATTGAGCGCATCTTAAGCAGCTTATAACACTCCAATAGCGACAGTTTGTGAAACAATTCACGCGTTATTTCTTGAGTTAATTAACTTTAACCATTCATAGTTTTAGTTTAGGTTGATCGTGTGAAAAGAAAAAAAATAGCTACTTTCTCTGGACCGTACTAGGTGTCTGCCTTTCTCCTTACAATTTCATAATTGAAATGATTGACCTGGGCCCCCTCCTCCAGCTCCACCTTTTTCCTGCTGTCTTTCTACATCATGGGCAGGTCCAGAAAGTAGTTATAGTAATTCAGAATCATCATGTAACTTCTTTGCTTTTAGTAATACTGTATCGCAGAGAAACCACGTGCAGAATTGCTGGTTTTCAGTGGCATCTCTCTAATGCAGTGGGGGAATTCTGGGAGTTGAAGTCCACCCATCTGGACGTTCCCAAGGTTGAGAAACACTGCTCTAATACTTCTTTGCTCATTTGTGCTTTTGCTAAATAAAATAAGCAAACCCCAAGCTAGGAAGCCAGAAAGAGAGTCTATCCATACTAACAAATCCATTGTTTCCCAGCTATAGATTCACAAACTAGAATTTAATCTGATCTTTGTTTCTTTTTTAAATGCTGATCTTCATTCATGGGTGATTTTCCTTTTGTTCCTTGACAGCCAATGGAACATCAAGCAGCCAGCTTTCCACACCGAAATCAAAGCAATCCCCAATCTCCACACCCACCAGTCCAGGAAGCCTCCGTAAGCACAAGGTATTACGTTTCTTATACCTTACTAAACCTCCTACCAACAGATTATACTGTGGTGAGAGTTACTTGAGGGTCGAGCTGATCTCTGTGAGTGTCGGGCCCCTGAACCGCAAGCAGGACTCCAGATGGTTTAACGACCCAGAAGCCACCCTGTCTTTCCCAACTGTGCAAGTTCATCGTTTATTTATTCGTTAACATGATATCCCACTTTTTTCCAGGAACTCAAGACAGGGTACATTGCATTCCTTCCTCCTATTGTTCCCCCCACAACAACAAATACATGGGGTAGAATGGGCTAAGGGAGAAGGAGAGAGAGAGTCTAGTTCAAGGTCACTCAATGAGCTTGCATGGCTGAGAGTGGACTTCCATATGGGTCTCCCTGGCCCTGTCACAGTGACGTCTCACAATGATAGGATGGACAATGATTGGAAGGAAGCAAGGAGCAGATGCAGATTGCCTCTCCTTCACAAAAAAGCCATTTCCATGGAAAAAGTGGGATGGCCAAGACTGCCTATATACGGGTGTCTCATTTGAAAATAGAATCCTTGCTGGAACTCTGTGTCGTGACCTTATCTTCCTTCTAATGAACACTATTAATAGCAACTGTTTGTTCTCTGGAACCACAATTTCCAGTCTAGACTGCAAGGGGGGAGTCTGATAAGTCCCAGTCCACCACCTTAACCCCTCTGCCACACTGCCTGTTTAACCCACTGCCTGCCCATTTTCCCTGCTCCTTCCTGATTTGACAGTAAAAAGGAACTCTATTTTTCCTCGTGGATAGCTTTTTCTTATAACGTGCTCTAGAGCAAGCATCCTCAATTTGTGCCTCTTGAGTGCACCTACTAAGTTTGGTAGCCTGTAGTGATCCTACTCCTTTACAAGGAGCCTGTGGGATCCAGTCTGCAGCCTGAGACCTATATGTCCTGCAGTGTAGAGAAATTCTAGGAAGTGGGACATGGGAAGCGGCATGGGAGGAAGGGGTAGTTTTTCTTCCAGCACTGCTGCTCCCAACCAGTTTGAATCCCTGCTCCCTCATACCTGTTTGTTTTTTTTTAAGCATCCAGATGAGATACAAGCATAGCAAGTGAAGCGCTTAGCCAGCCTTTGCTGCTCTTGAAAAAGCTGAGCAGGTCAGACTTGTAATTGCGTAAGAGACTACCTGAGAATCTCAGGTCCGTAAACTGGACTGAAAATGCACCCTGGTATCTCCAAGCGGTCTCCTATCCAAGCCTGAGCCTGCTTAATTTCTGGCCTCAGCCAAGGCCAGCTAGATGTGGTCAGCAATGCAAAGCAGGTGGGATTCATCTTAGTAAGCTGGCAGCATGGAGTGAGGCCCATATCTTTGACAAGGGATCTGGCATCTCCTCTGGTGCTTCCCTGGAGAACGTGTCTTCCAGCAAAATTAAGTAATGGGACTGTTCCATCCTACTTTTAAAAATTAGGATTAAGCATTTTCTACAGGCGACTTGCTTTTTTTACTGCTGTTGTTGCAAAGAAAAGTGTGTATCCTGTAAACATTCATCTAAGTTAAGCACCTTTTTGAGGATGTGCCGGGCCTTGTTTACAGCTGTGAGAAATCTTATCTATCAGGAGCTTTGCCCCCATCAAGCCTGAAAAGAATGGGAGATAACAAAAAGCCCTAAGCGACTGGGTGGGTATGCGCCTAAAATAGCGTGGAAGCTAATGTTTCTTCTGCAAGCTGTAAAGTACTCTATAATTACATTTTGTTGGTGCTGTTGTGATGGTTTTCTGGGTCAGAAATGCTTGTAACAGTTTTTTGGCTCCCTTGTTAACATCCTCTAATTTTCCATGTCCCCCCTCTCCACACGCCCACACCAGTGCCAGCATTTCATACTAAGAAAGGCAGTTCTCAGTTCCAGCTATTTTCTCATTCCTGGTTATGAGGGCCCCCTTCAGCAAGAACCACTTTACTTTTTAGATTTTAAAATTTCAGTGGAGGGGAAAGCCAGAGGAATAGCAAGGAGTAAAGATTTGAATTTGCCTTCATTGTATTTATAGGGTACTAAACACCATTCAGCTGCAGAAAAATTATTTTGATGCAAATGTTCTCTTAACTCCTACATTTCCTTCTTCCTTGAGTACAGCTAGGGAAACCATTGGCCTCCAGGTCCTCTCCTGTCCCCTTCTTGTCATCCTCAGATTGTTTCCTCTTCTTAGTTGAATCTTTTTAAGAAGGAAG